TGTTCTATAGTCTGTGTTGTTTGTTTGTTCTATAGTTTGTGTTGTTTGTTTGTTTGTTTGTTCTATAGTTTGTGTTGTTTGTTTGTTCAATAGTTAGTGTTGTTTGTTTGTTCTATAGTTTGTGTTGTTTGTTTGTTTGTACTATAGTCTGTGTTGTTTGTTTGTTTGTTCTATAGTCTGTGTTGTTTGTTTGTTTGTCTGTTCTATAGTCTGTGTTGTTTGTTTGTTCTATAGTCTGTGTTGTTTTTTTGTTTGTTCTATAGTCTGTGTTGTTTGTTTGTTCTATAGTCTGTGTTGTTTGTTTGTTCTATAGTTTGTGTTGTTTATTTGTTCTATAGTCTGTGTTTGTTTGTTTGTTCTATAGTCTGTGTTGTTTGTTTGTTTGTTCTATAGTTTGTGTTGTTTGTTTGTTTGTTTGTACTATAGTCTGTGTTGTTTGTCTGTTCTATAGTATGTGTTGTTCGTCTGTTCTATAGTCTGTGTTGTTTGTTTGTCTGTACTATAGTCTGTGTTGTTTGTTTGTTTGTTCTATAGTCTGTGTTGTTTGTTTGTTCTATAGTTTGTGTTGTTTGTTTGTTTGTTTGTTCTATAGTCTGTGTTGTTTGTTTGTTCTATAGTTTGTGTTGTTTATTTGTTCTATAGTCTGTGTTTGTTTGTTTGTTCTATAGTCTGTGTTGTTTGTTTGTTTGTTCTATAGTTTGTGTTGTTTGTTTGTTTGTTTGTACTATAGTCTGTGTTGTTTGTCTGTTCTATAGTCTGTGTTGTTTGTCTGTTCTATAGTCTGTGTTGTTTGTCTGTTCTATAGTATGTGTTGTTTATTTGTTTGTTCTATAGTCTGTGTTGTTTGTTTGTTTGTTCTATAGTCTGTGTTGTTTGTTTGTTCTATAGTTTGTGTTGTTTGTTTGTTTGTTCTATAGTTTGTGTTGTTTGTTTGTTTGTTTGTACTATAGTCTGTATTGTTTGTCTGTTCTATAGTCTGTGTTGTTTGTTTGTTTGTTCTGTAGTCTGTGTTGTTTGTTTGTTCTATAGTCTGTGTTGTTTGTTTGTTCTATAGTTTGTGTTGTTTATTTGTTCTATAGTCTGTGTTTGTTTGTTTGTTCTATAGTCTGTGTTGTTTGTTTGTTTGTTCTATAGTCTGTGTTGTTTTTTTGTTCTATAGTCTGTGTTGTTTGTTTGTTCTATAGTCTGTGTTGTTTGTTTGTTTGTTGTATAGTCTGTGTTGTTTGTTTGTTTTTTGTAGTTTGTGTTGTTTGTTTGTTCTATAGTTTGTGTTGTTTGTTTGTTTGTTTTTCATTCATTTTGTTTTATTTCCCCCTGCCTGATCTTACCAGTTTTGACAACTCTATACGCTGTCTCAAAACGAGCAAGTATTTGTAGGCTGGTTTACCGTAAGTCTCTTATTGTGGTAATTCTGTGCCCTTGGCCAAAGGTCGACTTTTCATATAGGGGCCTTTTTTCTTTAAATTACGGGATCAAGATTTTAAAAACCAAAACGAAACTATTTTTGATTTGTTACTGATCCAGAGGAGTGACATGTGCAGTGGTAAATTAATGAATAATTCATGATGAGCCAGAATGGTTAATTCATCATGAATGGTTAATTATGGCCGGACGACAGTGAATACGCTATAACAGAGTTGTTGTTCATTGTTTAATAAATACGTATTTATCTCTCCCTACGTCTTATTTTCTTTATTTATGTCCATTGTGTACGTTTATATAATATTATGTATGTTACAGGTATATTACATAT